CCCGAGTTGAAAGTTGCGGACAAGTTGCTGCGGACACACACACACACACACAAACACACACACAGAGAACCCCGTAACAATATGCGTTTTGTACTGCTGTTACACAGCACAAAACGCATAAATATGAAGCATTCGACAGTGTTACACAGCAGCAATGCGTAGCACAGCCTGTCGCTGTCATATTACTAGAAAGGAAATCTATCAAAACCATTAAACGCTTCTAGCCGACAAAATAAAGGTCATGTGAGAACAGTGCCCCATAAAGAAAGCTTTTAAATATACCAAAACAGAAAATTTAACCGAATAAGGCAACTTTTACAAGAACTGAAAAGCGTTATGTGAAGTTTGTTTTGTTTTCCTAGCATATGTTAAGACAATAATTTTAAACTGCCTGCAGACAGCGAGAATTTATTCCAGAAAACCCACACTGGAATAGCAAAATCCAGGATATCATCAGAGTGAGGCTCGCTAATACTGTTTTTTAGCTTACCGTTTCATGCGCAACCTTGCAGAAGAAATCGTCCTCGCTGAGAATTAGAATAACAATAAGTGCCAAATAAACATGATGTGCATTATATGCACTATTTATGCCATTATTTTGTGTCCCACCATTCAAAACAATCAACACAGGAAGTACCTGGAAAGGCAGGCTGTTGAGTAATGCAATGTATATGCTAAGCAAAGCAGTGAAGCAATCCACTGATCCATAGCTCTACAGACTTTACAGTACTCGCAGTATTAAATGCAGCGTGAAGTACAAATTCATGAATTTTAAGGACAATACGCTATATGTCAACTTGCTTCATTTTCCGTTTCCTGCTTACTAACGCATTCTGATGATGCTTAATAATAAATTAATTCGGACAAGGGCGATACCAATTTTTCCAAATTGATTCTTGAAAGGACATAATTCCGGAACCCAATATTTCGATGCAGCAAGATGTACAGGAAGAGCATTGGTGGCTGCTGGTCCGCAGTGGCACAAAGCCGTTCGTAGAGCGCACTGTAGTCCAGCTTGAATGTGCCACCTTCACCATTACTCAACGATGAAACTTCTGTAATATTTATAGCTACTTAGTCGGCACTTCACTAAAATCTACTTCTGGCTTTATCAAATACCTCGTGTCTTCTTGCTGTAATAGTCTGTTTTCTGCCTCATCTCTCTTCACTACTACCATCAAAATTAGCAGTAGCACCGGCTAATCACTGATATGTCCGCACGAAGCCTTCCTCAGCCAACAATGCCTTCATAGTTACGGCCGACGCTGTGCCAGCTGACGATCATCGCCCCGACGATGAGCTCATTCTTCTACACAGAAAGATACTAGAGGCACCACAAATCTCAAGCAAGTCAGTTACGCCCGCTCCCCATCCCCTCCTCCCCCC